TGTTAAAGCGAAAATGTCGTAATTGCGCTAACTGCGCTAACTGGTAATTCAATTTCATTTGCTGAACGATCCCTTATTTGATAATAAATTTAAATACTTAATTTGATAAAAATCTCCCACGAATAAATATATTGTTATCTAATATTTTTTCAAGTAATTGAAAACGAGAAAAATTGAAAAATATGTGCACATTTTCATTTTTTGTGCACCATGAAATTCTTTTAAAGTTGATTTAAAAGTTCTTCCTTTTTTTTCTTTTGAAAATATTCGTTAACTGTTTAACCATTTGAAATATTTCCTTAGAAAAAAAAAGAAAAAAAAACAAGCTTTTCGTTTTTAAGTGAAGTTAATTGTTGAGGGAAAACACTACTGCTACTATTGCTATGATACATATCAAGTTGTATAATTGCGCCAATGTCATCATATAAATTCTGTACTTTTTCTTTAAATATTATAAAAAAAAAAAGCTGTTGGTTTTTTTTTCTTTTTGCAATTTCTTGATATTATCATCGCAATACAAAATATTTCAAAATATACTGTGATATTTCGCAAATCAAATTTTAGAAAATATTTTAATAAAAAAAAGGAAAAAAAAGGTAAGAAATAGTTTTTGGGTAATTTTTTTCAAAAGAACAAAAAAAGAAAAAAAAAGCAAATGCAATCATTTTCAAAAATGAAGTATTTTTGAAATAAAATCAATTTTGAATTAAATGTTTAGCATACAAATTTTATTTGATTAATTTCATTTACCCTAAATTTTATTCCATTTTAACAATTTATTTCATTTAATGGTCATATCATCTAGTTTTGTCATAATTCCAGCTTAATTGCATAATTAGAATGCAAATGAACTACCGATAAACTTACTGTTTTTCACTGACAAATAATTCGATTCAATTAAATTATGACTAATCATTAACTTTTGTAAGGAAGCATAGCGAAAGAAAAAACATTTTGTGGCTTTTAAACATATTTGTAAAATTTGATAATTTAAAATTTTCAAATATTAAAATATTTTTCATAAATTTGTGTGAATCTTTTTTTAATAAATTTTGTTAGTAATTTGGCTATTTAATAATTGGAATAAAAAAGTTTGAAAATGTTTAAATTTATTTTTTTTCTTCATTCAAAAATAAATTACATTTGTTAAATCTCGTATCATTTATTATACTTTTTTTCTTTTTTTGTTTTTCCCTTTGTAGACGTAATACATTAATTAATTTGAATGTCATTCACTTCTCCTTTTTTTTCCTTCTATGAAAGTAATTAAATTCTTTCAAGAATTAAGGCAATTTCAATATTTAAAATATTTTTGCTATTGGCTTCATTAGATCCATGCATCTTAGCACCTATCTCAACCATTGGATCATAAAAACTTGGCCTCCTAGGCTATTATTGCATTATTTCCCCTCATTATTCCATCTATTGCATTACTAAAACTTGGCCCATAAGGCTATTACTGCAAAAATTTTTCTCTATAATAGAGAAAAATTATAAAATGTAGAAAAATTTATTTGATAGATATTACATACAATAATGAGGAAAATTTATATTTTTGAGTAATATTTTTAATCAATTCTTTACTGAAAATGATTAAACGTTTCAAATTATTCAGTGTTAAGAAGGAATTGTTGTTTCATTTTACTTCTATTCTATTGTTCTACAACTTTGTAACTAATTGATTTTATTCATAATTATTGAAATTTTGCAATCTTACAAAAAAAAAGATCGACTAAAATTTCTGTTTAACGTCGAGTAATTTCGAAATCATTTTAACCAAATAGTCTTTCCTTTTGTCGTTTTAATTCTCATTTAATTTTAATGAATTTGAAATGATAAAAGAAATTGGAAGAAGTTCAAATAATGCAAGAAATGATTGATTTTAATGGAATTGGGTGTTACAGAAACTAATAGCCTTCATCGATTCCTGACATCTGACTTTACTTTTTTTGCTGTCGTATGACATCTTACTGATAATTTAAAAATTCATAATTTCATTTGTTCAATTTCAATTCTCCTCTTTTTATTTGGAAAATAAAAAAAAGTGTCGAAATCGAAAATTAAAAAACAAAAAGA